GAATGACTGAGTTTGGACGTGTTTGAGGGCAAGAGCAGGGAATCGAGACAGAACTGATTTTCTGTATTTCTGCATGAAAGATAGCCAGATTCAGGAGTTTTATCCTATCCCCTTTGCTAGTGTGACCACGGCCTAGGTAAGTTGCTGTTTTTTCTTTTTAGTTTTCAGATTTGTTTCCTTAGATCTTTTTTTTTTTATTCTTTTAGAAGTTTTCTTTTTAGATTCCCACCCCCCTCCTCTGCTGTACCTCCCGTTGTGGCTGCGCCCGTCTGTTTTGACAGGCAGTAGCCACTCGAGGTGGCACCCAACATTGCACCTAAACCGAGCCAGGTTCGGGCACTTTGTGGGGAGAAGACCCTGTTGAGCTTGGCACCAGTGGGGTGACCCATGGGAGGGGTGACTTCTCGTTTTCAAGAGAAACGAGCTGCCCTGATTCAGAGAAACAAAAAAAAAAGCACACACAAAAAAAAAAAAAAAGAGGGGAAGAAGTTGGGAAAAAAAAAAAAAAAAAAAACGGTCGTGGATCTAGCCGCGGCCTCGGTCCAGATGCAAGTTTAGAAGCATCTGGACTATGGATAGACAGCAGGCTATTGGTTTCAACAGCCTGCTCAAAATTGGCTGAGTACAACCATTTTTGGGCCGCGTGGGGCCGCGGGTAAAGGCCAGATGCATCCCCCGTGGCCTGAACTTGGTTCCCCTAGGGGAACATCAAGTTTCCTGGCCCTCGATCGAGATTCTGATCAAGGGCCAGACTCTATTCCGGGATTTGGCTGGGGGCAAAGTAGCTGCCCTCAGCCTTCAGCCAGCTATAAAAGCTAGCCTGCCACCCAGCAGCCTCACACTTGTGGCAATGCTGCTGGGGCATTCTACTTAAGTAGATGCTGGCTGGCTGGCTGCTGGTGTGATGAGGCGAAGTGCTGGAGGTCTGCAGAAGCACTTGGAGGAAGGAGGAGGCAGCCATAGCTAGAGGCTGGGAGCTTCTTGCCCCACCTCTTGTGCTGTGCTGCAGGCTGTGGGGGAGCCATAGCCGGGAGGCTGCCGCTGGATTGGGTGGTGCGGCGGAAGCGCTTCCAAAATTGTGCGGCGGCAGCACTGGTTCTCTTGGTGGGACGGCGGAAGCGCTGCCGAATTCTTGGGGCGGCAGCGTTAGTCTTCTTGGCGATGCGGCGGAAGCGCTGCCGAAATTGTGCGGTGGCAGCGCTGGTTCTCCTGGTGGGACGGCGGAAGCCCTGCTGAAATTGTGCGGTGGCAGCGCTGGTTCTCCTGGTGGGGCGGCGGAAGCGCTGCCGAATTCTTGGGACGACAGCGCTAGTCTTCTTGGCGATACGGCGGAAGCGCTGCCGAAATTGTGCGGCGGCAGCGCGGATTCTCTTGGCGGTACGGCGAGGGCGCTACCAGATTTTGTGGCAACAGTATTTTGCACAAGACTGCGAAAAGGGGGGTTGGACATTGCCGCAGGGACGGTACCGCCGAGGTGGAAGTGCGCCTTGGGATAGAAAGAGTGTGGTGATTGTTTTGTTGAGGACGTTGCGGCATGTGGCACTTGAGGGAATGGTCAAGGCCGTAGTTATTTTTTTTGCGGCACGCTGAACGAGCGGGGACTGGATCCAGGACCACCAAGTATTGCGGCAGGCAAGTGATAACCTGACTTGGTACTTGGTGGGTTGAGTTGGCGCTGTTCTTAGTGAGAGTTGTGACATTGAGGCTGTGGGATTTAAGAGTGGGATACTCTCCTCATCGACGAGCCCACTTTTGTGTTGGTGAGCAGCGCCTAAGTCAGTGTTGGTGCCTGAAGGAAGGTGCGGCTCATCTTTGTGAGCAGCATAACTTTTCTTGAGAAAATACTTGGCTTTCTTGAGTGAGCCTTCATAAAATTCACTCAAGGTCAGTGTGACTCATCTCCTCTGCACACCCTCGTGAACCCACACATTGCATGACCTTCCTTTGAATTCATGGGAAAAGGTAGAGCAAGAGTGTGACGTCATACGTGTGAAGAAAGGGCTGACTTGGTTGGGGGATGGATGAACCTCTGGATTGTTTCTTTTCCTGATTGTGCAGGTAGGTTGGGAGGTGCATGTGAGAAGGAATCAACATTGCTTGCTCAAGATAATAATGGGGATGCTTACCTTTCTCCCACGCGACYTGAATGCATGTGAAAGAAAAGAGGAAAACCAAAAATAATAATAATAAAAGAGTGAACAGGCGGGTGCCAAAAGAACGAAGGCCGTGGGAAAATTAAAAGAAGAGAAGACAAGGGAACACCTTAGTATCTTCTCAAGGACTTCCCCATTCTTTCCCGATCGACCATTATCCTTCTATGCCCGTCGAAAATATCTTACTTCTTTCTCTTCTCAATTCGTCTAAGTCGACCCTTAGCTGGGAAGGCATAGAGTGGTCGTCCGCACCTAGGGTCTAGGCTTCTTCTTTCTAGGAGGCATCTGAGGCGGGGGTTCGTTGCCTTAGGGGCCGGCCCAGTTATCGACTCGGAGCGGACCGCTTTGGCGGGGGGATACCATGCTGTTGCAGTGGAGCCAGCCCAACCTCTGAGTCCTGAACAATGTGTTCGGGCGAGGGGGAGGGGTATTCCAAACCACTTCCTAGAGAGTAGGGTGTCTTGAAGCTAGGGGCAGTCGCCTCCTCGTGCTTTCAGAGAAAGGGGAGGCTGAATCTAGTACCCGGCTGGGTGGCCGCTTTATGAGACACCTACATGTGGGAGGGCTGGCGCCACAAGAAGCCCAGCCCGTGATTCAACTAGTGTTAAAAGAAGTGCAAATAGGCACTACTTTCGCAGACGGACCGTGACACAAGAATCACGGCCCGAAAAGTGGAGTAAAGATTGAACATGGAAATTAGTATATCTGAGTTATTTTGACAAAGTTACCGCTTCGTCGTCCAGATGCTTGGGGAGACAGTGATTCTCCGATTGTTCAGCACGCGCGAGGCGGCGGCTAATTGGTTAGCGGTGCCGACACGATCCCGCGCCGGCATGACACGGAAAGGAAGGCTGGTGTACAACCCTCTACAGGTTTACTCGGAACGGGACATGCCACGATTCTGTGAAGGGAGCGCGGGGAAACCACCGCGGAGTTATATTTTCTTGGTCGAGCCAGGCCAACATATTGTACGATATGACTTTGCGCCTCCTACTCCATCACGGGATTACGGAGATATGAACCTAGTGGTGGTTCACGAGGACTGTCCGGGAGTAGAGACCATTCCTGAGGTTAGGGGGATGTTCCTCCATATTGTACTCCATTTGAACGATCTGCAAGGACCATTCAACCTTCTTCATCATGTGAAACGGGTCCGGGCGAATAGATTTAATACCGTTCGCTCGAAAATTTGGTACGGCCAAGCAGTTTCTCACGGAGTTTGAACGAGTTGCGCGTCTGGTGCCTGATCTTCCAGATAGGGATCGGTGCCTTATCTTCCTCGAAAACTTTTTCGAAAATGAGCAGCGGGAACTGATGAAGGATATGACTGGGCGATACAACTGGCCAAAGATCAAGGAGAATCTGCTGGCTGGAAGCTTCGACCAGATACTTTACCGTCTCCTGAAGCAGCACCGCGAGAAGGAAGGGGTAAGCGCGGACAAGGATCATGCCATTTACAAAACCCTGACTTATATGCGGAACATGATGGCTGACATGAAGGAGGAAAGGTTAAAGTTGCAAATGATGATGGTCCAAACAAAGGGTGGAAAAAGGAAGGGAAAAACTCTCGTCGTGGAGGAAGTGAGTAGTAGCAGCAACGAATTGGAAGATGAGGAGGAAGTGGAGCCCGCTCGAAAATTGACCAAGGCAGAACGGAAGGCCCTGAATCAAATACGAGGAGGGCAAGGCACTAGCAAAA